TTTCTTTCATTTTATAGAAACTAGTGATGCACTTCTATAGCCTTTAGCCTTTATAGTGAAGTCAACTTCTTTGGTATTGATGAAACCTCCTTATTTTAGCAGCAGAAATTGCCTTCTTCTTTGCTGCTACAGCGGAAACCTTCAAATCAGAAAAAACTTCCTCTTTGGCTTTGAAGCTACAGCTACCTTTCAATCAAAAGCTGCTATAACGCGCGGTTGCTATTAGCTTATTTATTTACTTGAGGCATAGGCATCGCAGCGGCTACTCTTTTGCGCTAGGAGTTATGCTTTTCTCTTATAGTTTCGCTTTCATTTAGGAGTGAAAAGGAACATCTTTATGAGATGAACGTAATCTATATCTCTCCTTTCTTTGGTTAGGAACAATTCAATAGCTTGCTTTAGGGGCCTTAACATCGAATAACATAGCGAGCGGCTACTAGCTTGCTTCGGTTCGGCTCTTACTATGAGCTTAGGTTCCATAGCTTTAGGAGCCATTTTCAAGCTGTAGAATAGCAAAAGAGCCTTACTTTCTTTCTTTCTTTCTTTCTTTCTTTCTTTCTTTAGTATTAGTAGCTGTACAACCAAGCAGGCAAAGCTAGTAAGGCCTGAGCAATTACCTTGCAGAACTATCCTTGCTAGAGCGAGCGCAAGAAATGACTTGCGCGAGCAAGTATGATATAAATTGCACTCGCTCAAGCTAAAAGAGTTCTAGAGCAACATTTTCGAAGGATTCAATTGCCTGCTTTATTGTACCGGTAAGCCCTGCCTATCAATGCAATAGCTTCGGAGCAAGCTATGTGGTTCTACAGCTTGAAAATGGCTCCTAAAGCTAACTACTAGCAAGAGCTATGCTTATTTTAGGGCTCCTAAAGTTATGGAATTGCTCTGCTCCTAAGCTACTATATTTAGCTATCTAGGATCCGCAATTCTTTTATATTAAATACCTTCCTAAGCAAGAGAGTTGCTCCTCTCCTAAAGCTATTGTCCTATAGAGCTTCCACCCTCCCTACGCTAAATCAAAGGAGCTACTAGAACAGCTAAGGTAGTAGCCTTAGATTTAGCTCTAGCAGCTAGGAATTGAGCTTTCAAGCTTTGCTTTTGGTTTCATTTAGCTGTAGCTGATTTGGATTGAAAGCCTGTAGCAGCTTGGAGCACACTCGATTGAACTCACACAGGGAGCAGTCTTACCCAACAACGGCGTTACAGGACGTCGACATTGGCCAATGAGGAGATTAGGCGGCAGTTGAAATAGGTGGCCTATGTAATGCTTTGCTGCATCCAGCGGAGGAACAGAACAAGTTCTTATGCCGATAATTATAATCGACAAATATGAGCTTGGATCTTTACCTTCAGAACCATCTTCGGTTTCTTCTGTTGTGAACAAGGTATCTGTCCCTTAAACCCTTAAAAAGGATAATTTTGTGTTGGGTTCACAAAATTATTCTTTAATTTTTTTGTGTTGGGTTTGGGGTTAAGATGAGAGAGAGAAGGATGTCTGCGTGTGAGGGAGAGAGAACAAAAAAAAAGAAAGAAAAAGGTGGATGTTAGGGGTCACGTTTAATGCATACATATAAAAGGATAATTGTGTTTGGATGGATAGATAGTTATACAATATCAAAAATATCCTCAAAAATTGCATGTGCCAAGCACATGACATTTTCCGTCTATTATTTGAATGACAGTTAAGGATAAGGGCCAAAATGAGTCAATGTGTTTATATGGAGGACGGAATTGATAAAATTAAAATTTTAGGGATGAAAGTGCAATAAGTGATGCTCTATTGGTGTAATTTACCCTAAAAATTATATTTCGCCCCTAAATTTTACACTCAAGTTTCAATCAAACGGTAAATCATTACTTAATCTCAATTAATCCCTTTAACTATCTAAAAGTTTCAATACAACCCTTCCATTTAATTTCATCACAAAACTTAATAGAAAAATGCACGTAAGTCTCACTTGACTGAGTTAGTGGGGGTTTATTTATCTCAATTTAGTCTTCTATATATTTTAAAAAGTTCAAATCTAATCTTTATTTAAAAACCTCTAAAAAAAATTTGCCGAAGAGGTCTTAATGATGAAGTGGAGGGGATGCCGAGGACGACACAATGAAACACCAGTAGGAGGGAACATAGGCCTTGTATGTGAAATAGAATGAGAGCCGAATCAAATAAAAAAAAAAAAAAAGAGACCGACTACCCACTTGGCTTATGGGTCATTACATCATTGGGTACTCTTGACCCATTGGTTTACGGATTATCCGTATTGAATTTAATCTAGTCTTTGACTTATGAGTGAAAGAAAAAAAAACACTTAATGAAGTACAAATCTTCATGGTACATTAGAAGCAGATGCATTCGCAAATACAATCTCTAGTGAAGTACAAATCTTC